ACATAACAACAACATAACAACAACATAACAACATTGTTGAGTCAGACCTGCCTCAGAGCTGACCCTCCAGAGGATTTTCAGAAGCAATTAAATCACATGTGAGGAGACTGCCCATCCTTCTCCCTCAGAGCATCTGGTGCATGTGAACTGCAGCCTCCAGGTTGGCACTGCCACCAGAGCTTCCTGTGTCTATGCATAGACACAGATATATTATTTGAACACGTGTAATCTGAGCAGCAGTACATGTGTTTCCAAAGGAGTGACAGCCAGGCCTCCCAAGCAAGGAGCATGAACACACTTCAGACAGATGTAACTGTAAACAGAGGAGCTCAGTGATGCAGACGCCCCATGGAGCCCCACTTCTGGATACTGTGCATGGAAAGAAGTTTTATAGGATAAAGTAGCAGCTGAGCAAGCAGACGAATGACAGAAGGACACACCTTGCCAGAGAAGGAGCCCTGGGGGGCTCACCACTGTGGCAGGCCTGTCCTGTCCACGGTCCAGCTGACAGCTGAGAAGGTTCTAAATCAATGGCATCTTTATTTGTTAATTAATCTGTGCCAGAAAATTTGCATCATTTAATCTCATCCTCGGGTCGTGCTTTTACAGGCATAAGAGTCCTAGATCATGCAACTGTCAAGTGGCAGAGTTAGGGGTTAAGCAGTGACTATTTACTCAGTCTATTCTCTTGGTGACTTAGAGCATTACATGTTGTGCCCCTAACCAAAAGGTCAGCGGTTCTACAGCACCAGCTGCTCCACTAGAGAAGGGGCACAGGCTCCTCTCTTGAAGATTTGGAGCCTGGAAACCTGAGGGAGGGTTACCATGAGCTGGAATTGACTCACTGGCAGTGGACCTTTCTCACTTATGCTGACCCTCCACCTTCCCAAACATGAGGTCCTTCTCCAAGGATGGGCCTCTCCTCACAACAGCCCAAAGAATGTGAGACAAAGCTTCGCCATCCTTGCCTCCAAGGAGAACCCTAGTTTCACTTTCTTCAAGACTTCTTTGTTCTTTTGGCTGGCCATGGAATATTCAGTACTCTTCTCCAACACCACAACTCAAAGACATTGATTCTTCTGTCATCCTTAGTCACTGTTCAACTTTTAGATGCATAACAAATAATTCAGAAGACTATGGCGTGCATCAGGCACACCTTACTTTTTCAACAGACATCATTACTCTTTAGTACCCTGGAGAAGTCCCTGACAGCAGATTTTCCCAATGCAATTCATCTTTTGATTTCTTGGCTGCTGGTACCAGGGATTGTGGGTTTGTGGATCCAAGTAAGATGAAATCATTAACTTCCAACTTTTCTCCACCTAGCATAATATTGGCCCATTGATGAGGATCTTTTGTTTTCTTGATGTTAAAGTAATCCATATTGATGGCTGCAGTATTTGATCTTTTCATTTTATTAATTTTAATGAACATTTACAGAGATTTTAGATTTCCATTCAATCATTGTTGCACTATTTTCTCTACACCTCCACTCCAGTT